TTTAGTTTTTATTTTACCCGTTATTCAGCGAGAACTTAATTCGTTATTCTAAATGATCTTGTTAATAATAATACCTACTCGTGAAAATATATAATAATTGATGAATAATAAAGAATGAATTGTAACATCGACGTAAAAAAACATAAAATATTGAACACTATATAAAGTAAGTCGTAAGTAGACGAGCCTCCGAGAGATAACTGCTTAATTGTGCTATTTGCTGTGAACACTATCGGTTCGTGGAGTCCACGTGCAGTAATAGTATCTGCAACTTTTCGTCGCTAATGATAAGAGCACAAATTATATTTTAGTTAATTTTTTTAATAATAGTTTTTTAATGTTTTATATATTTTAATTTTATGTTAATGACCTTAATTTTAGTTAACAATATCTTATACTATACTTTATATTATTCATCTCTATTATACTCATATACTATTATTTCTAATTATAATTGATACTCATTATTTATTACAGTCTATTAACGTCCACTGCCAAACATAGGCTAATTTATGAGAGGGTTCTTAGGGAAAGGAAGTATCCGCCGCGCTACCCCAATGCGTGTTGGTGAACTTCACATGTCTTCGAAATATTTTTTTTCTTATTCTTCAGACATGCAAGTTTTCTCACGATGTTTTCCTTCACCGCCGAGTACGTGTTAAATCAGCACTTAAAATTGCAATTAACAATTTCATTGCTGCCGGCGGGGATCGAACTCGGGTTACTCGCGTTCTGTTATAATAACAGCGTGCGTTAACCATCTGAGCTACCACGGCTCTAATCGGCCTTCCAATATATAGTCCCATATGGGGGATATTCCCCATAGTTGCCACGCTTGTCCGCTTCGCACTCACAGTTTTCAATTTTCTATAGAGCCCGCTGCCCCCATACCACACGGTCTATATATTTTATGCATTTTATCGCGTTAAATTTTAACTTTTTTTTAATTCCCTATGTTTCGGGTCCTGTATAGCACTCACAGGCACCATGTGACCATGCGATAAAATCCGTAAAAAAATAAATAAAGTAAAGTCACAGCCTACACACGTCCAACTGCTGAGCACAGGCCTCCGCTCATTTCTGAGAGGGTTCAATCCCGGGTTAAAATTCGTAAAATTGGTTTCATTCAAATTACAACAACATCAGAATCAAAACCATACATATTGAAACCAGTATATGGTTGCATCCAAAGCTTTTCTCAGGATAGCTGGCGTCGATGACGAACAGTATCATCCGTTAAAGTGACTGATTAGAGGCATTGGGGCCCAAACGACCTTACCCTATTCTCAAACTTTAAATGGGTGGGAAAGTATTACCCGAAAATGCTTAATTTTAGGGTTCGACACTTAAAGGGTGAAATGGAACCCTATTAATGTCACTCTGTAATCTATCTGTCTATCTGTCTGTATGTCTGTCAGTAAGACACGGATCTCTAGCTCTTGTGCGTAATGGGTTATAGTCCTAAAATTTATATGTTTGGTGTAGAATACAGTAGTGCACTTTTAAAGGCAGATCACAGAAATAATTATTTAAATTCACCTTAGCTTTACTGGTTCGAAAAAAACTTCTGTCCTGGAAAAAACCAGCAAAAAATTCAAGCGTAACTTTTTTAATACAGTGATAGTGTACTAGTTTTGATAGATATTGTATAATGTTGCCTCGAAACCGAATTATGAATTACATACAAAAAAGAACAATAAGATGGACTCAATCAATGAGAAGCGGATACCTAATGCCGAAAACCAGTATACTTTGTTGTGGAGTTATGTAGGATTCCTGATATACACAAACTTCCTTTTTGCGGAATAACTCCACACCAGGCACACTAATTGTTGTCGTTTTCCTACATACTTCGTACTTCAAACGTTGACGGAGATATTGACATTGCTCGCAATTTGTAGCATTTTTTCTTAATCAAAATTAGGTATCCTCTTCATGAACTATGGATAAGTAACACGCAAATGGGGCTTCTTTTTCTTCATCATTAGCCCGTAAAAGTCTACTGTGGGGCGTGGGGGTTTGGGTCATGCTTAACAGACGACTTGATGATCGCAGTACTAAACGCTTCACACGTTTAATGTTACTCGCCGTCAACGGTCTGGGTGTCTTGCGCCTGGTGTAAAGATATTTTTATACCATCATCAATATGAAGCCAGACAAGCCTGATATTTCCTTACTCTCCTCTTACAACACCCGCGGGAGGGAATAGGAAAATGAAATTTCCTTTTGTCAACCGCTTTTAAACGCGAATAACAATATGGAAGTGGCAGATTCCCACCGCCACCGCAGAGATACTTAAAACATGACCGATATCGTTACCGTTATAGTCTAAGCAAGCTCACTGTTGAACATAGGCCTCCCCCATAGATTGCCTCATAAAATAGGATATTTGCCATAGTTGCCACGCTAGGCGAGCGGGTTGGCAACCATAGTGGTATTATTTTTAGTCGTTATTAGGAATATACTGCTGCCCATCGCTTGATTTATTTCCCTCTGTCACCTTTTACGACACTCAATAGATGATATGAGGTAGCGGATATTCCTACACCGCTACCACACGATAACATTGTTAACGTAAAACATTGTTACTTGTTAAACAGAGCAGATAAATACGACATGTAAAACAGAGCAGATAAATACGACATGTAAAACATGTAAAAAGTAACGCAAATCAAATCGTGACCAATTTAAACATAGACTATGTTAACAAAGACTGTATGAGCTTGTCTGTTGCCGCAGTTCACTTCACGAATTAAAAACAGATATATTTGGTATACAATTTATTTTATTATTTGCTTAATTGAAATCATAGAATTATATTTTATCTGCGGTGATTTTAAATTTATTTATTTTTCCAATTAAAAAGTCGTTAATTTGCAATAACTTATCTGTTTCGTTTATAACTGGCACGTGTCAATATGTGCCAGTTAAGTTGTACAACATGATTGTAAAGCACGTGAAGAGGCCCAAATTTTTCAACCTCATTAAGCAACCATGTTAATAATGTTTATAATATATCAAGTTACTAATGAGGCATAATTCAAAGAATAAACCGAGTATATACTGACATCGTTATTTTGTTTCATTTTATCATGAGTATTATATTGGGTGCGTTTGGCAGAAAAAAGCGCTAGCAAGCGCTTATAAGCGCTGGAATAGTTTTCGACCAGGACACGATTGCTACTTCAGTAGCGCTGACTCAATCCGCCATTTTGCTTATTTAATTTGTTTTGAAGTAGAGTTTATAAGTTGTTTTGTGCAATATTAGTTTTAAGTAATATAATGACATGAATAAACATATACATGTTATTAAAATTCATGATTGGTAAGTTTTTAATATAAATACTTTACAAACATATATTTAAATTAGGTTAGGTTCCCTGGTTAAAACTAACATCGTGTCCTGGAGGAAAATAGCTACTTACGATTTAATAGCGCTTACCGCTTACGATCGCCATTTTGCTTACAAGCGCTTGCTAGCGCTTTTTTCTGCCAAACGCACCCATTAACTACTAGCACACCGACCTTTGGCACGGGTGGTTTCTGGAACTCGACAACGCGCACACAACAAAAAAATTTATCAAAATCAGTCGAGCCAGTTTCGAGTTTTAGCCAGACTAAGAGACAGCAATTGATTTTTATATATAGAGATTACAGCAATCTTTGACAGATAAATCATAACCCACCAGAGAACAGCAACTAGTGCTGCCTGATTATAAATCCTTTAACAAATTCCCCGGATCTTAACTCACAGTAGATGTCGTTTAATTGTTATAATGCAGATTCGATTTTTTTTTTCTTAAATCTATAATAAGCCGACACTTAACTACTACGCTGCGCTACACATTTATTATTAAAAATAATATAATCTAAAAAAGAATTCGGAATAAAACATTTTTCCTCTTAAAAAGTTATTTAAATTACAACAAAAAAGAAGTCAAGGCAAGTTGGATTTAGCTTTGCTAATTTTTCCAACGTCTACTTTACATTGAATAAAATTACTTTTACAGATATTTTCGTGCTTAATTTTATTTATCTTTAATTTCCTACGTTGAGAGTGCTGCAAAGCATCCGAAACCGTTTGCGTTGTCATGACGAAGCAATGGGGAAAATTCAGTCAAAAATTTGAGTTGTTTGCATGCCCATCTTGTTTCTACTATATGAAATTATTTGATTCATAGTAACGTTCAGCGCTAAATATTTTTTTTATTTAATATTCCGATTCTCCCTTAAAAATACGGCAAAGCCACAGATAAAATCTGAAGTTATTTCCCGAACGAAAACGATTGAACCAAATACGCACAGTTCGTTTGCTAGCAATTCTAATTCCGTATAAGTCATTGATATTGGGTACCGTTTGAGACGCATTACTACCACGTTGGATATTATATTCAAAAATAATATCTATGGTTATACATCAATATTGCAGAAAAACAAAACCGAAAGAAACAAATGAATAACTGATTTTGAAAAAGTAATAATTTAAGAAAAATGAAAGAAAAAAATAGAAATAATAATTTATGCTATAAATATAGAATGTGATAAATTGTTATTTTTTAATAAATGATATAAACACCATATTTTTAGCCTTTGAAGGAGAAAAGATCCAGTCGTCTTATTAGTGGCTACGGCAAGTTGCGGATACCGTTCCTTTAGGCACTTGCCAAGCCACCAAACGTGGACCTCAAGGACCGATTCACCTCTGCAGCAAATGACACAAATATTTGGTCATCTTTCAGGCTTATAATTGCGGTATTTACTCTGTTCATCTGCCTCTGATGCCGCACCGGCTCTAAAAAAATACCCTGAAATGATAGGCTATCAAATTGTCTACATATTTAGCATCCCACGTTAAGGCTTGACCTCTCTCCCAAGTGACCAAAGTCATACTGTCGGTCTTCTGTCATTATCTCCTAAGTCAAACTACCTATTATAGTTCGAAATGCCACTTCAACATAAACTGCGATTTTTTTAGTAAAGATTATGTTTATTTTTTTCAGATTATTCCCGCTCTTCTTCAGTTTGATGTTGTTCTGTACATACATCCTTCCTGACATTAACAACGGCCCCCAATGGAATTTAGTTGTAGAGGAACATAGTAGAGTTTGCGAAAAGAATATGTGGAAAAGCTTTCTATTCATTCATAATTACTTCGGCTTTGAGGAAATGGTATGTATATAATATGCAAAATATTTATAATATTATTATTATGAACCTTCTTACAATCTTATAATCTCATCGCATGCACATTTAAAATCTTTTAGGTACATTAATATAAGAAGAAAGTTATAACTGTTGTTTTTCCCTTGGTAAAATTTATTGAAATGTATGATGAAGTTTCTTTTTTCAATTTTCACTTAAATTTTTGGCCTGCATAAATAAGAACATAAATGATAGTTATAATAAAGTTTGTCAACGCCATAATATAATATAGTATACTTCTATACTAGGTCCGAAAATAATATTTCGTAAAAAATATTTATAGTAGAAATGCCGCGAGGCTTTTTAAAAGGCAGAAAGCAGTTAAAATATACTTAAAAAAACATTGATTTGAAACATTATCATCGTCATTTATGAATCATCATCATCATGGTCATCCCAAAAGAATGCCACAAAACACCAACATCCATCGACTACTGTATGGTTTACTAGGACGGACATGTTTTTTCTTTAACTGTTTTTGCTATTTACTCTATTTTTGTTACTTATAGTTATGAAAATATATTTAAAATGAAAAAGTCTTTAACCCTACTTATAGTTGATAAGATAGTTCAAGTCCAGATGCGGCCCGAACTTCTGCTTTTATTGTATTGGCGTTAATTGTTGTGTTACGGGCTGTCAGTAATCTGATATAGCGCTAGTGAGCAGCAATCAGAACAATTGGGCGACCACTGCGGGTTCGGTTAGTTAAAATACACATGTCGTGGTACTTCTGACATAGGATTGGGGTACAGAAATTCCGCGTACTATTTCTCTCGTGGAATATACTTATACCCTCTAAAATACAATCCTTGCTCGTAAAACTTGTGATAACCCTCTTAGCATTTTTTCAATCACAAATTTCTAAGCCTAAGCCTAAAGCCTCTGGGGAAATAGTTTTGCGGCGCTTGTGGCGTGGCGACGTGTTACATTCGTATTTGAAGAGAAAAACTAAATATCAAAATTTATATATATATATATATATATATATATATATATATATATATATATATATATATAATGTTATTAACAAGCCTCTGTCACTCATGGTACAATCGCATGGAACCTCAGGTTACATACGCAGTCAAGGCTAGCCCGTTTTAGGTGAGCGACGTACTTATGAATTTTAATGTTTTATCATTGAAAAATATAATATTTTGAAAATATTTGTTTAAATTAATTATTTTTTCATTATTTAGTGTATTAAGTTACATAATGAAATAGTTGTATAAGTTTTAGTTTAAAATATACGTATGTTGTAGAGAATACATTCATTAACAATTTTAACATAATAATGAATAAACCAAATAGTAATTGTATCACTCCTATATGTATACGTTAGTTTTTTCTGCTCTTAAAAATAGCCGTTATTTCAGAGACGGTAAAAAATAGTAGTCATTATGTTAAAGTTAACCAGTTGTAAATTAAATAAATAATTAAGGGGATTACATATCTCTTTTAAAATTACACGATTAAAAAATACACTGTAATCTAATTTTTAATCTTTGTTAAATCACTAGACAACTGCGGAATATCGTCCGTGATATAGGACGGGGAAAAGATGCAAATCTATAATGAGACTCGCGCGCAGTGATAAATTTTAATTTATTCATTAAACTAATTATTAATAATTACGTAGAGTATTAAAACGTCCAACATCAAAGAAGTGCAACTTCTGTATATAGTATTTTTATTTATTCTGCGATAATACCATGAATGAATGCACCAGATCCGCATCACACCATGTCCAGTCGATAGTAGCCTCTGCACTGAGTATTTAAATGATTACGTAATATTCTCAGTCAAACTTGAAAAATAATATAATATATCTGTAGGTCATATGTAATCAAAGTATCAAATAATAAAATTATACAACAAAACAAAAAAAAATATAAAAAAATAGTCTCTCGTTAACAACGTTGTAAGGGTTGGTAGTGTGTCAACGAGGGTTACGTATCTTATTATCAGAATCATCAAACGGTATTCGCTGAAGGTCATACAGGTTTATGCACCAACATCGGCACATCCCGATGAGGAGTTGTAGCATGCATTCCTCGAGAACCCACTATACGGTGTTAATGGGAGAATTCAACTCAAAGCTGGGCACAGGAATGAACGGTGAGCTGAAGGTGGAGAAATTTGGGGTAGGGCAGCTAGCCGACTTCGTGGAGAAAGGAGGATTCTTTTTCCACGAAGGATTTTTTAGATGAACTCTTTCTTTCAGAAGTGGACCTGTTAAAGCCCTGACAATTTGACAAAAAATGCGATTGACTTTATTTTAACGTCAATATGGCAACTGTTCCGTGATGTCTCAGTGATCGCAAAGGTGAAAACTGGCAGCGATCACCGAATGGTTAGAGGCACACTCAACCTAAACGTTTAGTTGGAAAGGTCTCGTCTAATGAAGTCAACGCTCCGTCCCCCTCGTGCTCTAATCCAAAGTCCCGAAAACTTTCAGCTCGAGTTACAAAACCATGTTCAACGCCTAGAAGATTGCAATACAGTGGAGGATATGAGTGACAAGCTCGTGAAGTTTTTCATGCGGTCGGAGCTATAAGACACGCCGCAGAAGAACACAAAAACTCTACGATCACACTCTTAATCTCATGGCTGTTGATTGGAAATTAGGCTGTAGTCTTCAACAGATTTGATAGCACACAGAAGAATGAACAGACAAATCTCCTAATACATGCGGCGGGACTTGTTACTGCTCATTCACTCACTTGTTACAACTTTAACACTGCTCGTAATGAAGAAGCGATCGAGTGGAACCAGGGCTCCAAGGTCTTTGCCAGATATCTGTCTGTCGAAAGAGCCAACAGTCAAAGCTGAAGACTGAATGTGGCAGCATCGTTTCCGGGACACATGACATTTTGACTCAGATTGAGAGATAATTACAGCGGAGCTTCAGAAAGCGGGTGGAACACCGGTACTTAATGTTCTTCAGAGGCTTTTCAATACCGTCCTCTACGATAAAACTACTCTGGAGGCTTGGAACAGAAGTGCGGTGGTCTTGTTCTTCAAGAAAGGCGACAACGATCTCTTGAAGTACTACAGACCGATTTACTTTCTGAGCCGCGTTTACGTGCTGTTTTCAAGAGTAATTACGAATCGTCCCGCAAGCAGACTCGACGACTTCCAGTCGACTTCAAATCGGTTGGGCAGCGTTCGGAAAATTACGGTATATTTTCTCTTTAGGTATATTTCAAAACCTGAAAATTAGATTGTACAACCAGTACGTGTTGCCAATGATGATTTATAGATCTGAGACCTGGTCCTCCACTGCTGGCCGTATGAGGACGCTCAAGGTCGCTCAGCGAGCTATGCAGAGAGTTATGCTTGGGGTTTCTCTGCGTGATAAACTTAAAAATGAGGATATTCGCAGTAGAACCAGAGTGAACGACGTACCCCAACGGATTAGTAATAGTAAGTGGCATGTGGCAATACTTTTGCATTTGCAGAAGCTAAATTTATATATCTATGGGCCGCAGCATCAACTAACCACGCCTGTGCTCGCTTGTCACTCTTGTTTTATAAAAAGAAAAAAGTGTGCGTCAAAACATTTCAGGAGGACTTCGTTCAGCTTCGTTCGACTAACACATTTATATTACAGTTACATTATAAAGGACAATGGCGAAAAAATTGTTGATGAAATTATCAAGCATCTGCGTAAGTCTCCGTTACCGATATCAATTATCTTATCAAGCTCATAGCTTATCGAACTCTGAAAAAACTAAATTGACTATTTGTTCTACTCGTTACGATTCGTCATTTGAGGCAGGCTTATATCTGACATTTCAGTCTGCTGTGTATTTAATTCACAAAAGTCTTTTCTTTATATTCGTGCATTATTTTAGGATCCCCTCTATGCTAGTAATTACTTTACATGAGCATAATTTAAAATAATATTGACTAGTAGTTGTTGTTATAACTACTTGTCAATTAAGGCTGGAAAAAATCTTATACTATACAGCCTAAACAAATGTGAATTTTGTTTAAACTGGAATATATTTAATTTCATACTTGCTGTGGTAGTATGACTGAATAAAAAATGGTTCGGGATTTCAACCTCTTTATATTTACATATTTTTCATATGTAGACGCAAGAAAAAAATTGTTAACAAAAATTTTTTTGGTAGTTCGCCATCAACCTTTGCGTAACACTACAATGTTACCTCGATACTCGTACAGAGCAACGAATAGCATTTGTTGCCACTGACACTGACATTTTTCTGAATTTAGTAACGTATCAAATCTGGTCGAATCTGAATTGTGTATAAAAGTATCTATTTTTAATTCTAATTTAATGGTCATTTACGTGTGAATTAGTCACTTAATATGTCAGTCATATCATAAAAATTACAGTCTATATACGTCCCACTCCTGGGCACAGGCCTCCGCTCGTTTCTGAGAGTGTTTTAGAGTAAGGAATTGTCCGCCGCGCTGTCCCAATGCGTAATATGCCCAATATCATATATTTATATAATTTATCTAATTGAACAAAATATCACTAACTTTAAACAATGATATAGATGTTCGTAATATTAACAATGTAGTAACAAGGTATAACAGTTATTATTATCAATTCTCACAATATATCTCCCGTGTATGTACTCTCTACTCAACAATTGTTGAAAAACTCCCCCACAAGCTGACATCTATATTTTAGAGGCTTATAATTAACCATTGCCAAAATACAGATGGCGTTGCTTGTGTAGTTTTCGTTACAAGTTTCCAATAAAATTGGATATTATTACGAAAGTTTTTACAATATAAAAGGTGATTTATATTTCTTTTAATTATCTTAAACAGTGTTACATTCAAGTTATAAATATAAGTAAAAATAAATAACTCAATATAATCTGAAATGTTGATATACCCGCAGACTTATTGCAACAAAATAATTAATTAGGTACCCACAATGTTACTGATAGTTATAACAATATAAATTATTAAAATATGCTAATACATGCTTATCGATCAATTCATATCTAATGTATCTGCGAAAACAAAGCCTCATTTCAGTTATGACTCAAAACTCCAGTAAAGCAACTACAGAAATTCCAAACCGTTTTGCGAAAGCTTTCCCACTAAAAACTGCAAACAATTATGAAATTATAAAGCTCCATTGTATTCGCTTCATTGTCATTTATCACTCTCTAATATTTATCAACACAAAATTATCACAAGAATCCTCTAGTACGTAAGACGTTTTAATATTAGGTTAGTGCTAACAATGGATATCGTGCAACGGGCCCCCGAGGGCGATGGAATAATGATGCTCGAGATAAGTTCACCCTTGTTCCCAAGGTACTCATATAAGTCATTTAATGTGTCGCCTACATATTTAAGGAAGCTGCTTTGCAAGCGTGTAATGTGCTCTGTCACGCAGCTTTTGCGTCGCGTTTATTTTTAATGAGGATAGCACAGTATAATATGTGAATAGTAGATTCTTTTCGCATTGTTAGAGTATTTTATAAATTCAACAATATATGAAATAGCGTTGCTATTATTCTACAATCAACACATTAATGTCAACAACTGGAAGAATAGCTGGGATATAACCAAGGCGTTAATAACACCTTATACCTATATTTTTGTTTCTTTTATATAGGCATCCCCCAAAGATTAAAGATTTCTCATAGGGGGGATATTGCCATAGTAGCCAAGCTTTTATAATAAATTTATTATAATTAAGAATATTTTTATTATACATATAATTTATTTCATTCTATTATATATATATATATATATATATATATATATATATATATATATATATATATATATATAATACATTAACTGTTATATTTTAGTGTATAAGATAAGGGATCCAATAAAATCATAAGCATTTTGTCTTAGTCCTCAGATTTTCGTTTCACTATTTCTTTTAAATTGAATTCAGTTGCTGGTAGCTTCATTGCATAATACGAGAGTCGTATTAAAAAAAGGGTCAAGTGAGAGTCAGGTCTCGCGCCATGAGGGTCAGGTCTCGCTCTATCAAGGTCCCGTACATTTATAATCAAACAACTTGTCCCAGAACTAAAAATTAATATCAGTTTGATTCGGTTGCAGGTCGACATTCTCCATCAAATATCCAAATTTCAGTTCTGTAACTCATCCCAAATGTCAGGTAGAAATTCGCGACATAGCGAAGTGGTATTAATAGGGCTCAAATTCTCCCTTTGATTATAGAAATCTAAAAATTTAATCTCCATTTCAACGTAATTCCACTACGTTTTTGTGAAAAATTAAACAAACTCAATGAAAAATAAATAATATTGATAACGTTATCAAGATTCGAAATTGCCCCAGGACGTTTTTAAAAAAGACTTTATTTAAAACTTAAGACTAATAATGTGCGATACATTAATTAATACTTTTTAAAACTACATGTCCGATAAATGCACTATACTCTAGAACATTACGCTAAAGGGCAGTTATCGATCTGCCTACAAAATACCACCTGTCTTCAAGAAGCAATTCAGCAATCTACGCCCACACTTACGCTTAAATTGTGATGGCCTCCGGTGCAATACCGGAAATACCCGGATACATAACTACGTTCTCTCGAGTTTCGAATACGATCGAACGATCAAGATGTATTAAATGAGCAGTCGTGCTTTATTTTTACAAGTGTACGAGTACGAAAAGTTTAGAATATTTGTGTACATCATGTAATATGACATACACAAATACATGTATTTTTTTTTTGATTATAATAATAATAATAATAATAATAATTTTTATTGACACCAAGTAAGGATTACATTATTTATCTTAAAGACATTTGAACAGTTATAACTCATCTATACAATTTTATACACTAGCGTCTAAACTAGGCCGAGCCTGTATCTTAGACACTAGTCACTTCCAAAGGCACCATTATTTACAATTATAAAAGCATACGGCATATTATGATTCACCTAATCTATGTTTTACGTTACAAATTCGTAAATACATTATCACTTTTTTGCGATTACCGTCATACTAACTTATTATGCGTATGAAAGGTTAGACTACTATTTATAGGAACATTTTTAATTTCTTAATTTGTAATCCAATAAATTATACCCCTTCGTCCACTAAAATCTATTGAAAAGTGTATTCATACGTAGCAGTCTATCGCCGCGTTTAAAGGAAGGTATATTGTACAGTGCGAAGAACCTGACTTGACTTCGCTCATCTTTTTGGTATTTACCTACAAAGTAAGGTGATGGCGTAATAGTTTCCAGTACCCAATATCATGGGTGTCGTAAGAGGGGACAGAGGGAAATGAAGCATGAAACAGACAAACGTTTTTTGATAACAACTCAAAAATAATAAATAACTTCTGTTACTCAAGGTCGCTCAGCGAGCTATGGAGAGGGCTATGCTCGGAGTTTCACTGCGTGATAGACTCAGAAATGAGGATATCCGCAGTGAAACCAGAGTGACCGACATAGCCCAACGGATTAGTAAGCTGAAGTGGCAGTGGGCCGACCATATAGCTCGAAGAACCGATAACCGATGGGGAAGAAAGGTTCTCGAGTTGCAGCCTCGTACCGGTAGGCGTAGTGTAGGGCGACCCCCCCACTAGATGGAGTGACGACCTGGTAAGACATGCAGGAAATCGATGGAGGCAGGTGGCTCAGGACCGTGCTTTGTGGCATTACTTGGGGGAGGCCTATGTTCAGCAGTGGACTTGTGAAGGGCTGTAATGATGATGATGATGAACTTCTGTTACCAGCACGCATATTTTATAAACCTAAAGTGATAAACGAACTTACAGATCAGCTGATGGCTGCTGCTATCCGCAGACATGTGCAGCCCGCTTCAAATGAAGATGGTTACAGGTGCATAGTCATCTCTGAAGACTAAGTTGGAATACCTCATAGCCTGTTATAATACTGGCTCGCTATATCCTTCAAACCGGAACACAGTAGCGCAAAAACCGCTATTTGATCGCTGAAGTAGGTAAGAGGTTAGACGGACTCCTAGATAGAAAAGTATCTGAAGTCCAGCGTGATGGATATTACAAATGTTCTACTTTTGATAGTTTGCGATGCTGATGAATGATGACGAATTGTTATTCATGCGAAATTGGTTTTGTCTTCCTACTTTTCGTCATTTACTGGTTCTCGTAGTAACTTGGCCGAGAGACAAACATATAGACATGAAGACCAACACATCAAAGAATTAAAAATCACTTTAACACATATTAAACCCAACTGTTACTACAGGGCGTACGCATAAATTGTTGCGCACAAAAGTAAATTTATTTAATTCCTTTCAGTGTCTCACCCACACCCACCAAATTGGTATGGATATGCAGTTGTACGTGGCCACTTTACCTCTTATGCTGATATTATGGAAGTTTAGAAACCTGGGATGGATCCTTGTAGCCGGTATCGCTGTGGCATCAACCGTCCTCAGATACATGGCTATTCATTGGTACGACATCAGCATGTTTGTCTATTATGGGATATCGTAAGTTGACGCTTTTTTATTGTTTCGATTAGAATAATTAAATCAACTGCATCCACATATATAAAATGACTGCGTAATTATATATGTTTTCCAATATGTGGCAATAACAAAATGATAATTACTGTAAATTTTTATGATAGACATTTCGTCTTTTTGTCTTTTAGTGGTGTAAGAGGATTCATCACCCCATACGTTTCGTATGTGCTGTAAGAGCAGACTATCGGAATCGCTTGGCCTCTTATGTTTTTCATATTATTTAAATCCCGGGATGACGTGAGTGGTCTTTTCAAACACTGTAAAATTTTACCAATACATATACAAGTACAAAACAATTTATTAAAAGAACATTTTTTTAATAAATCGCTAAAAATCCCAATATAGCATCCTGTATACTCTCGAGCAATTTCTAAGAACCGTCTCAGCGAGCCACATGCTAGCGAACATGTAGCTACTTAAGGCCCGGTTTATATTTTGAGAAGTGACAAGTGCGAGTGGCAAGTGTAACTGACAAATGACAAATGCTTAGTGCGTGTGAACAGACAGTGACAAGTGATAAGTGGGAATAAAATACGCACTTGTTTCTTCTCACTTGCTAGTCACTTTTCAAAAATGTAAACGGGACCTAATACCTCGGCTTATCAATAACTTGCTGTCAGAATGTGGTGGATAATGTCAGTAAAAATAACATTAAGTCTAAGCTAAAGGATCACTTTCTTAAGTTATAGTAACGTGTTTTTTTCAGTTTTCGATTGGTTCCATGTTTATTTCATGTTTTTGCTTTTCCTTTTTATAGTACAATACAGTATCGCGCTATATTATCTTATAAAATTGTAAACTCTCGATAGCTTAGGTATAAACCTTAGTGGTTTCTTAAATGCTATCACTACAAATATTTGTAATGCTTGTTCATGCGATAAAATAAGTGAAAAAAATCTAGCGGTAACACATTTGTGGTGAAAAGCTTGATCGCCGTGGCTGGTCTGGACCGCTGTTCGCTAGTCTGTCAGTTTTAGAAGGTGACATTTTGGGACTAAAAGTTAGCTCCTCACCTTACCTTTTTAAGTGATGCTAGGAAAAGTAATAAATGCCTTAAAATTAGCTGTTACTGAATAAAGAGTAATAATATCTGATAAAAATATAGCATATGTAGCAAGTTTCAAAATAGAGAAATCTATACACAAGTACTTGCCGAGGTACAGAAAAGTAAATAACAAAGATCATAATATTTATTATTGTCATTTATTAAAACGTTTTGTATGACTATGGAAGAGCGGGTGTCCCTGATAAGGCACTCCCTAGCTTATGCAAATTGTAAAATGCTTCATGAAATAAAATAATTTTATAATTATTAATTACAAAATTATGTTAAAATCCTATATTAACAATATAAATTATATTTCAATATTAACTATATTTTAATACAATTATATTTTAAGGGCATGGGTCGAGGATCGGAATTTTAGGCTTTAGCAGACTCGGTTGGTAGATCAGATCTTTCTGTTATTTCCCATAGTGGCCTTTACCCACGAGACGAAACGTCTTTCGCCGCCGCCACCACACGCTATGGCAATTCCCACCTTTATTATACTCTATTCCATTCAATTCCATTCCATTTCGTTATTTTCCCTTCTATTCTATTATTTTCCATTCTATTCTAGTTTTTTCTGTTCTATTCGATGGGGGGGTCCATATCTAACAGTATACCGATGCGAAATATTATAGAAAATGAAGATATTCTGTTATATTTCAAACAAATAAAGTCACATAAAATGTTATTATTTAAAGTGCCACACATAAAACTGTTAGAAGTGATCTCATCGATAAAATTGAATGAAATATTTTGACTGATGACAATCACCACCAAAAGTCCACAATAAAAAAGGATAGATTCTAGATAAACCATCGAATCCAGAAGAATTCAATAGGTTTAAGCTTCATTATTTGCTTATTAAATCTTATAAACTATTTCAAATACAACTATTTATTACATTTCAACTATTTAAAGACAGAACTTGGCCATAATCCCATCTGATAGAACGTGGTGATGCAGCTAAAGATGGTGATACTGTCTTAGTTTAACATAAGTCTGTTTACCCTTCTAATCGAATATAAAGGCAGTCACTGGCCTATTCCATTGCTTTGAGGTACGCATTAAATTCTATAAAATATATTATTTCCTTTTGGCGATCTGTGCTGTTCGCGTTGTGAAATACACCATACACTCAAGAGGCCTTATTACTACTGTACTGCCTTCTAAAATCAATATTATTTAAAAGTTAATGGGTGTATTTAATAATCAGCTGATTCATTAATGTCAATTAAAACGACAACCGCTTCGACCCGCACTTAGTTTTCCAAGTAATTAAACTAATATTCCAGGGGATTCACCAAAGTAACAACTATTATCACCTCAATAAATTGAACAAACACAATTACATTTAAGATTGTTCAGCAATCCAGTTATGGCTTAAAACTACATAACTTTTTCTAGGGTATTTCTTGTATAAATATTTTAATATACTGTGTATTGAAATTCCTTCTGTTCTACACAATTAATTCGCTTTATTAAGAAATATTTTTATTTATCTTTTATAAAAGTTACCGTCTACGTCTTATCTGCATTAAAGTCTTGAGTACCATTCAGTAATGCGTGAACTGCTGTCTTCCGGTCTGGTTATAGAATGATGGATCTGGATTAGACTTGACAACGATCCTTTGTAGTCGTCTTTGCTTATAGTTGGATGCAGGTGTCCATGAGCTACGATAGCCACTTACCATCAGTGTTTGTCGTTGGTCAGTTTTGCCAACAAATAATTAGTGACAGATTGACTAAATGAGCTATGACTTTTGTCTGATTTCAAATGTATATGGGACTCGCGTTAAAGTACAAACTATTTAATAAGAAAGATCCATTAAAATCAGTTTACAACTGACAGAGATATCGTTTAATTTTCAAAGATATTGTTATTTTCTCCTGTGGGGGGACGTCTTATCTGAATTAAAGTCTTGAGTACCATGCAGTAATGCGTGAACTGCTGTTTTCCGGTCTGGTTATAGAATGATGGATCTGGATTAGACTTGACAACAATCCTTTGTAGTCATCTTTGCTTATAGTTGGATGCAGGTTTCCATGAGCTACGACAGCCACTTACCATCAGTGTTTGTCGTTTGTCAGTTTCGTCAACAAATAATTAGTGACAGATTGACTAAATGAGCTATGACTTTTGTGTGATTTCAAATGTATATGGGACTCGCGTTAAAGTACAAACTTTTTATTAACAAAGATTCATTAAAATCAGTTTACAACTGACAAAGATATCGTTTAAGAAACACAAGAAAAGAATATACAGTCGAATGAAGAAGCTCCTCCTTTTTTAATTGCTTTGGCTACAAGTATTTCATTTAAGGAAGCATGCTACCTTAAACATGTAATCTAACATTATTTTATTTTTAACTACCGTACATTTTTCTATTTTCTTTTTTCATCAGCTTATAAAAATCCACTGCTGGCAATAAGCTTATTCACATCGTTCACTATATATTCTAAGAATGAAACATCCATGATATTTTCATTTGATTCTATTATAAAAAACCGTGGAGATCTTATTGAATATTTTGTTCTACACATAACAATGAATATGGTAAAATTGTATTGTCCAGATGGTCTTATGCGATTTCCTTTCAGAGTTCAAAAGTTGCTGGACGCGGCCCGATATTCATATATATTGCCGACCCATCGCGCTACGATATATCTTATTGGAGTCGTGATGGCATATGTTATGAAATCGAAAAAGTTGAGATTTAACCTTACCAATGTAAGTAAAATGTAATTTAAACAATAATTAATCATTAGCTTATAGCGTAAAAAAGCAGCTTGGTGCTGCTGTGTTTTGTATGGTGAGTGTAGAGAATCCGGTTCTCTATATCTCTATATTTATATCTCTATATTTAATATTTTAGTGATAACGAGGCATTTCATCTCAGTCCTCACGGGTGACAACGCATCTGCATTTTGATTCGTAATCGAGGATAGATTTAGATGTCTATGGGCTACAGCAACCACTTACCATCAGGTGGACTGTGTGCTCGTTTGTCACCCCTATCCTAAAAAAAACTTTCAAATAATGAACGAAATGTTGTGACAGTATTCTTCTTAATCAACACGTAAAAGTCTACTGTTGGGCATGGGCATCTTCCATTACAGGGAAGTTTTTTCCTTAGTTGCCACGCTTGGTGGGCGAATGGATGATCTCACTACCAGGTATCTTTCTCGATGTAACCAGGGAAATTGCAGTATAGGTGATATTTATATGATATGATATATATATATATATATATATATATATATATATATATATATATATATATATATATATATATATATATATATATATATAAAACCTGCACCTATCTCCTATAGGAAAAAATTTATTGAGGGTCATTTTGTCGTATCGATCACAAAAACTGCTGGGGACATAGTAAATATGACTCAGTCAATACTTTATTCAATTTCTTTCATTCATAATTTCCACCTATTATTACAATTTCTTTACGATTCAAGCTTATGCCAATTGAAACAAAATAATTTTGCCTTTATCGCGGTCGCAATCTACGCAGAGACTAACGCTGTGAGAGAAACGAGATTTTTACCTTTTGATTACCTTTTTTAATTTTCTTTTATTAATTTTTAATGAAAATAAACCCACGAAACTTTCTGTTCAGACTCAAGCCCGATTTCTGTGGGCAGCGTGCTTCGGTCTAGCAGTATTCACGGTAGCGAGTCCATATGAGATGGGCCTTGAAGGATATCGTTACGAACACTTCCCAGCGGCCTTGTTTGCAGCTTTCTCACCGATCCTGTGGGGATTGTCCATGTGCATAGCGCATTGGGCCATATGCAACGATTACGCAGGTTTGTTATTTTATAATGATGAATCTCTTAAAAGAGAAAGGTGGTCTCACTGATCACAAAACCTTATCGCTTCGAACTGGAATTCATTGGAGAATGATTTTTTTTTTTGAAAATGGGTGACAAATAAACTTACAGACCAGCTAATGGTAAATGGCTAGTGCATGCTATGGGAACCTGCGAAGACCAACTTCAAAGAAAGGAGGTTACAAATGCGTTGTCACCTCTGAAGACTAAGATGGAGTTCCAACGTAATGATAAAGGTTCTCTATATCTTTTAGACAGGAGCATAAGAGTGCAGGCGCTGCTGTTTGTGACAGAAATAGGTAAGAGAGTAGCATCTGCCCAGGTGAACTCCTAGCCAGAAAACGATTCACAAGACCTAGTTATATCTAAAACTTATTCGTGAAGTAAAACATAAATACCCAAAAGTTTAATTTTAAATAATTCGGTTAGTATACTTACATGACCAGGTCAGAGCCCAAAATCTTCAATCTTAGGGTTTTGTCTGGTCTCCAATTATTTTGTAAATCCGGCTCCAATATTTAAAAAACACGAATTCATAATTTTATTTTGGTAGTAAATTAATAGAAAAGTAAAATTCTGGGAACAAAATGCGTTCAGAAAATTAATTCATCAATGCATTTTTTATCATGCTATCTTTTTTATATCGTCCTAATTTTATGTCTCTTAAAACAAATCATTTAAAACAAAGAAATATTTTTTTCATTACAATATATTATTATAAAAAAGTCCAATAATAGAAACAATCTTCACATTTCAAAAACAAAAGTTGAATCTCTAGTGAACCGATATAGTATCGATGGGACGCGCAATAAAGCCTATGAAAAATGGAACGTTCCAGGAAAAATGTTACAACCTCGGATATCAATACTAAATAGTTATAAAGCCCGGCCCCTATGAAAAGATAATCAGCTGTTCTATACTACAAAAATATAAAAGCTTTTTTGTGTTATTATCCAAATAATATTTTTGTATTAAACTCAGTTCAATCAGTCGCAGTAAATGAGACCATGAGCGCTCATCTTACAATTGCATTCTGGTCTCTCGCCAAGGCTGTCCAGGGGAATTTCTGTCAGCCATCTCTTCCCTCTCTGCACAGGGAAGACTCACTGTCCCATACCGCAAAGGAGAAAGCCGATCTTCTAGGCTCTTTCTTTGCGTCCAACTCGACTTTCGATGACGGGGGGAGTACGCCGTCGACCATACCGCGGTGTGAGTGCTCCATGCCGGAATTGCAGTTCACACAGCGCTCGGTTAGCAAAGCACTCCTCTCCCTGGATATCCACAAGTTGAGTGGGCCTGACGGAATCCCCCCAATTGTGCTGAGGACGTGTGCTCCAGAGTTGGCACCGGGTCTAACGTGTCTTTTCCGGTACCCCAACTTAATAGGCGTAGTCCCAAAATCATGGAAGACGGTTTTCGTCCACCCGATCCCTAAAAAACGCGACCGCTCAGACCCGTCCAACTACCGGCCTATCGCCATCACCTCCTTGTTCTCCAAAACAGTGGAGTCCTTTGTAAACTGCCAGTTCACGAGGTACTTTGAGGATCACCAGCTGATTAGTGACCGCCAATACGGTTTTCGCCGTGGTCGGTCAGCTGGTGATCTTCTGGTCGGATATTTCTCAGGAAAACGTCTCCGAGTGCCAGGACAAACTTGTGTCTGAAGTCGAGTCTTTGCTGAACAGAGTCTCGGATTGGGGGCGACTAAATCTAGTCCAGTTTAACGCCCAAAAGACACAAGTTTGCGCGTTAATCGCTAAAAAGAACCCCTTTGTCGTATCTCCTCAGTTTCAAGGCACTCCCCTTGTTGCATCAGCAATATCAGAATCCTCGTCGACATATCGAGTGACGTGCATTTTCGTGGTCACTTGGAAGAGAAGGCCAAATTGGCCTCTAAAAGGCTTGGCGTGCTCAGCAGAGCGGGACAGCATTTCATGCCGGCACACCGCCTGCAACTTTACAAGGCGCAGGCTCGGTCACACATGGAATACTGTTCCCATCTCTGGGCTGAGGCTCCTCAGTACCAGCTCCTTCCACTTGATCGCATCCAGCGCAGAGCGGCTCGAATCGTCGACGACCGATCCGACGCTTTCCGAACGGCTCGATTCACTGGCACTGCGAAGAGATGTTGCATCTCTTTGCATTTTCTTTCGCATATACCGTGGAGAGTGCTCTGAGGAATTGTTCGGATTAATCCCAGCCGCCAAATTTCGTGAGCGCACTACGCGGCAAACGTCCCGATACTATCCACACCATCTGGATGCTTGGCGGTCCACCACTGTACGTTTCAAAGGGAGTTTTCTTCCGCGTACAACCTCTCTGTGTAACAGTTTACCACCGGCGATTTTTCCGGACCGATACGACCTGGGGACTTTCAAGAAAAGAGATTACTCGTTTCTAAAGGGGTCTTAAGATCAGGTAGGATCACTTAACATCAGGTGAGCCGCATGCTCGTTTGCCCCCTCTTCTATAAAAAAAATTAAATAGTTATATGTGTATGTAAACCAAGTTTGATTCCGTCTTCACCGATAAAATTATTAATTACTAATTCCCTACGTACACGGCGGAAAATAGAACGCCGTGAAGAATGTTGCATGTCTGATAAATGTAAAGAAAATATTTTGAGAACATATTATTATGTATTACGCTTTCACATACTGAGATAGTGTGTCGGCCTCTTGTCTGTCTAAAAACCCTCTAACGTAAGAGCTAAAACGTACCCAACAGTGGGGCGTATGAAGGCGGTTACATTTCAAAGATAAATAATTTTTGTTACAACTGTTTTTGTATAAAAAAAGATAATAAATAAAAACCGGTAACGTGTGATATTAAAAAAAGTAGTAATGAAAATTATTTACGAATTACGTATTATATAGCAAGCACTAGTACAACATATTAGCACTAGGCTTGAAGTTATTGACGAGTATGCTTACCTGTGGGCTTTCTCGAATGAAAGTTTCTTGAGTCGAAGCCTCCTTTGGATGGAGTGACGACGTGGTAAGACATGTAGGAAGTCGATAGATGCAAGTGGCTCATGACCGTCCTTTATGATGGCTACAATGATGATGACATTACATAATATAAAATAATTTAAAATGTGATTACGTTAACGATGGTCCCGATAAGAACACTTGTGTAAAACGAATCATAGCAGAATGACAATAAAATGAGCGTACAGAAAGCATATAAAGTGTACTTTAATATATTTTTACGCATAAATAAGATTCCTTTTATGTGTAAATTAAATATATAGTATAAAATAAATTTTCACAGGTGTTGGCACAGCGTTCGTGGAATCGCGAGCGTTTAAATTCTTCAACAAGATCGCGTACGGGGTCTACCTGACTCAATTCCCAATTTTCTTCTATAATGTCGGTGTACAGAGGCACGCTGAATTCTACACGCCTCTTTCACTTGTAAGTAAAATATTATTTAATTTGATACATGCGTAAATACGTACAATACGGTACATGCCGTATTAAATGATTATATTTCGTAAACCATTTTTCTACCGTCACACGATAGTATATTTATATCTGCTTAAAATAAATAAAATATTAAAATTATTTATGTTACGATATTTACTAAGAAAATCATATTTCGTTTGTCAAACGTCGACATGTTTTTAATTTACTATCGTTTCAAAATGAGTTTCCTCTATCCAGGGAAGAAACGGCGAAAGAAACTCCGTAAGTATTTTCGTTTTTGCTTACATGTTTATAAAGGCGAACGTTATAATATTCCTAATCATAAATAATAAGGAATAGACCCGTACATATTATTAAATCATGTTTTTTTCTATTAAAATTGCACAACTAGAAAAATACAAAATGAACACTTTTTGCAAACTCGAGCATGGCTCCACACAAGTAGTACCTGTTCACAAGTACGATGCGACGAGCATGTGGCTGTCATCGCCTTCCTCGATTATTTTAATGAGAAGTGCTCGTTTGCCTCATAGTGATGATATTTGCCATAGTTGCCACGCTTTAGTCCAATATTAGGTAGACTATAGTTTGATTTCCTCTACGGGATGATATACGTGCTCTAGCTACGCACGGGATAATATGGGGTAGTAAATATTTTTACCCCGCCACTACACGTGTAGTTATATAGTTGTAGTTTCAGATGATCATGATTATGATATATTTGTGACGTAAGAAGAAGATTAAGATATTGTTGTGTGCAAGAAAATGTATACAACAAGAGAATGGGTTGGTGCTAGCTCAACAAGGTGTAATAGACGAGATCACAGTCCACTTCATAAAAATCGTCTACATAAATATCTATTTAAGTTCACCAGTGGATAGTTTATGAGAAGACCAAGATGTTTGAAGGAAGAAATAATTCGAAAATATTATATTCTATAAGTAGATAGGTAGTACCACTTCTGGCTCACTGAGTCAGTATTGCGAAGTCCGTTTTTGCGTAGGATGCACGGTTCCGGAGATGTGCAGATCAATTAACTCTTATCTAATTGATATCCGATGAGGGCCTCCACCGTCATTAGCGCCCCATTGTTATATATCTTTTGTTCATTGAATACCGTCATTGTCTATTTTTCCTCGGCGTATGCCTCGGCTTATCAGTGCTATTGTATTATACTTCTTTGTTCCTATCTACAACGCTAATATATATATATATATATATATATATATATATATATATATATATATATATATATATATATATATATATATATATTAGCGTTGTAGATAGGAACAAAGAATATAATAATTTTTATTTACAAAATACGAAATCTTATTATTACTAATAATAGGAGCGAACATCTCATCCACCAAAATATGTGTTCCCTGTAAATATACTCGTAAAACTATGCATTGAACATCTCTGAAACTGATATAGCAAATACATTAAGCAATATTCGCCACAAACTGAAGTCCACTCATTCTGAATCCTATCAACATTCCAGTTCCATCTTTTACAATTCCTTTTTAAAAACTCTAGATGATATCGTACAGGTGATCATCCATATGAATCAAAATATTAACCGACGTCATTTGTATTGATATATAAAGCTACCCAATGTGACCCAGGTTTATCATCTGTATCCAAATTGCATATTATATACGTTGGTACGTGGGTATACATGGGCAGTCTATTAGCAGCATAAACATTATTTTCTAGACTGGGGTGAATCTTTTTCAGATGTTGTTGTACATCTAGTGTATCCATGATATTACTGCTATTAGTAGATTATTACAGTAACAATCTACTCAATCACTAACATAGGAATGATCAATTATAGTGATTTCTAAATATTAAATTGCATTCTTTTATATTATACAAATTGTATTTGAGTCATCAATATACTAAACAAGACGCAACACGAAGGAATGTTGAGATAAGCAACAGAATGCGAGATAAGCTTGTTGATGTATAAAGTTACTCGTACTATCATTTCCACTGCAGAAATTCTTTAGATTAGAATTATTACTTACTGGTACTATATAAGACCGAGCAGCTGCAGTCATGGAGTTAGTGTCATATCATGTCGTTTGACCGCAGTGGATCTATCAATACTACATTTGTGTTACTTCAACTCATCAAAGGCCATGGATGTAAGTGTTTATTCTATTGACAAACTTACTTTTCTTTCTGTTATTTTCTTACGTGTGTATGATTTAGTGTTAACAAATTATATTTAAATATTATGTGTGTATATGATTAAGCCGTGATAGCTCAGATGGTTAGCGCAAGCTATAAATTTCACAGACGCGATCCGGGTTCGATCCCCGCCGGCACCAATTAAATTGTTAATTGCAATTTTAAGTGCTGATTTACCACGTGCTCAGCGGTGAAGGAAAACATCACACATCGTATTGATCAATTATCAAAAGCCATGCAGGGTAAAATGAATAAAAGGCAAGTAAAGGAATGGTTAAAATCACAAGATACGTACACATTACATAAACCCATTCGAAAAAAAAATCCCGCGTAATAGGTACATTCTATCAAATATTAATGAAATGTGGCAAGCTGATTTAAGTAATATGCGAACTTATTCTCAATATAATGATGGTTTCAAGTATAAACTTTGTGTTATTGATGTATTTAGTAAATATGCTTTTGCAAGACCAATGAAAAAGAAAAACTCAGAAATAGTCCAGGATCCATCGCCCATTTTTGCGTGTGATTACTATCAAGCTAATTTTCTGTGAGTAGCTTTATTTTGATGAGACGCCCAATAATTTCCTGTACGAAACTCTCGATTGTGGTAGCTAACCGAAGTAGCAAGGATAAAATATGTTGATTTGATGATTCTCAAATATTTATTACTAACTCAATTTGTTTTTGTTAATTCTCAAGATAATTATCTAAATTGTTCGAAAAAATATATTTGTTCTACAAAATCTATGGCTTGATCAAAGAGTCCCCTTTAGCCAATATGTATCGATAACGAGGTCATCATAAATTATTACTAACCAGCTGATTTTTTTTATTTTTACTTAGTTAATATTTATATAATTTAACAGACATATTTTCCTACAAATTGCGTGGTACGTTATCACCGGGATAACGTACCACGCAATTTGTACTACGCTCAAAAGTAGTAGTACAAATCCTTGATGTAAAAATAATTACTATCAAGCTGAATCTTCGTGAATAGCTTCGTTTTGATGAGTCGCCCAACAATTTCCTATGCGAAAATTCTCAATTGTGGTAGCTAACAGAGGTAGCAATGATAAAATATCTTGATTTGATTATTTTCAAAAATGTAAAAGAAGTTATAAAAATTAATAATCGTCAATTTAAATTCAACAAAAAATTAACAAATAAAATTTGTGTCGCTTGGGTTTCTGTATTTTGCTAATACAGCTGAGTTACACCGGTACGCCGGTACGCATGCGCAGAGCATTGCTTACTCCGTATTAGGTATCCCACGTTAGTGTCGACCATAAGCCTGCAAACATTTTCTCAGTCGACCGCGTGTTTTATTTTGTCTTGAGAAATTATTTCAAGAAATGTTTTTTGTGATTTATTAAGTTCATATTTTCACGTAATTATGTAAAATCGAGCATTAGTATTGAAACATTCTATTGTAGCATTGTATTATTGTTAAATTCTTTAAACAATATTTTTGATAGTATGTATATTATATTTTACATATTTTCTTATTTAATTTTTTGTCATTTAAATTTATATTTTTGTATGACTATTTGACTAAATATTCATTTAACATGGAATAATTTTTTCAATATCGATGATGCTATGTGATATTTATGTAGATACTGTATTTATTTGCATATTTCTCAAATAAACAATTTTTAATTTTTTTTAATAATTTCTCATACACAGCACTGAGCCAGCTTCAACAGGATCAGCGTCTCAATCTACTGGACTCATTGATTCCTCGGTATCTTTAACGTCTGCTGAAAATGTAGAATCGGACAGATTGCCATGCACTTCACGGTTAGTTAATTAAATAATTTTTTTTGTTGGTTATATAATTTATTTGTATTATATAATTTACTTAATTTTTTCATGTTATTACAGAGTCAGATATTACGACTGAGGAAAGTGGAATAGAAGATGACAGCGATGTTAGTAGCGAAGATTTATCAGATGAATCTGATGAAGATTAACTTCTTTTTTTTATATATATAAATACATAAATTTTTGTACCAAGTTTATTAAAAAATAAAGTTATTTAAATTTTAGAAAAGCTTTTTTCTCTTTATTTTATTTTACAGATAGAAAAACGAAAAAATGACAATTCTTGTCGGACTAATAATGCATACCTGTTTTCTTGTAGGACGATGTTTCATTTGGGCAGATAACATACTAACCTATCATGTAATATTTTTGTCCTACAGTTAGTAATGAAAAAATGGTCTTATGGTATTAACAACTTCTGAGCGTAGGACCAGGATAACGTACCACGTAATTTGTAGGACAATATGCCTGTTAAATTATATAAATATTAACTAAGTAAAAACAAAAAAAATCAGCTGGTTAGTAATCATTTATGATGACCTCGTTATCGATACATATTGGATAGAGGGGACTCTTTGATCAAACCCTAGATTTTTTAGGACAATTATTTTTTGAATAATTTAGATAAATATCTTGAGATTTAACAAAAAAGAATTCACTTAGTAATAAATATTTGAGAATCATCAAATCAACATATTTTATCCTTGCTACTTCTGTTAGCTACCACAATCGAGAGTTTCGTATAGGATATTATTGGGCGTCTCATCAAAATAAAGCTAATGACGGAAAATTAGCTTGATAGTAATCACGTGCAAAAATGGGCGATGGATCCTGGACTAAAACAACTAAAGAATGTTTTGAAAGTATATTTACTGAAAGTAATTTAACACCTACTCACATACAATCTGATAAAGGTTGTTTCAAAAGATGTACAAAAATACTTTAAATCCAAAAATATTAATTACTATACCACTAACAATCCTGACATTAAGGTCAGTAAGATTACAAAGAACACTAAAAATGAAAATGTGGCGTTATTTCACTCATAATAATACTTAAAGATATATAGATGTTTTACAATATTTAATATACTCTTATAATCACAGCTTTCACTCTAGTATTAAGATGTGTCCATTTGGTGTCGATTCCAACAATATTATGACAGTTTGGACTAATCTTTATGATAGACGGTCAAATAAACTTTCTTTAGAAAATCCTAAACCAAATTTCAATGTGGGTGATTATGTTCGAATAACTAAATATAAACATGTTTTCCAAAAAGGATATGAATCAAATTGGAGTGATGAAATATTTATTATATCTTCAATAATTGATAGGGGTCTCCATGGGTTGTTTATACAATAACAGATTTACAAAATGAACCAATAGTTGGTACTTTTTATAAAAGAGAATTACAGAAAATCACTTACAACCCCACCTCACAATATAAAATAGATAAAATAATTGACACTCGTTATTCAGGTAACAGAAAAGAAGTATTAGTGAAGTGGAAAGGTTATCCAGATAAATTTAACAGTTGGATTTTATCTTCTAGTTTAAAAGAAATATGAATAAAAAAGTTTTTATTTAACTTTGCTCAGCAATAGTTCAATGGATTACTTTCCTGATAACAAGACCACAAATTTTTCGGTTTGAGTTGTCGAGTTTCAATATCCATGTATGGTATATATTGTTTACTATTCAAGATCATGAAAATGATATATACATTACAAAATCTATGTTAATGCCTAATGAAGATAAACCATCCATAGTGTACTACAAAAAATATTTTCCAGCTACCAACTATGATAACGTTGAGCATATTTTAAGAGTGTTAAATGGTATCGGAGAGAACTTGAAATTTCGCTATGATGAAATAACAAAATTTGTGTTTATTTTTGTTTTGGATAAAAATATAACATCCGTAACATTATCACCCAAATTAATTTTACAACTAGGTTATGAATCAAATAATAATCTCCTAGAGAGAAATTTTGGAAAGTGTCCTGCTAATTTACACTTAGGGTTACCATCTCAACTATTTCTATAATGCGACATTATCGATCCTCAGATTGTGGGTGGTTTTATGACTCCTTTACTAAGAGTCATTTCATTAGATCCTACAAAATACATTTATCTAAACAGAATCACATTCACTAATGATCCACTAATGACTGTCATTGTTAAAAAAGTATTTTTTAACTTTTTCACTTTCTGCTATTGTCTTTGTATTCAGGGCTACGAAATGTCCGCCGCACTGCCTCAATGCGTGTTGGCGAACTTCACATCGCCAATGTGGTGTCCACTAATTTAAGTGTAGGATTTTAGTAAAACAACTATATCAGTAAGTAGGTACACAGCACAACGACAACGTCCACTCGCCACCGATGACGGATCGGCAATGCGAGTGAGGCACCACCGTTGGTCTGTGTACTATATTTAATTATACATATATCTTTCCTCGGGATGTTTTCTTTAATCGCTGAGCACGTGGTAAATCAGCACCTAAAATTGCAATTAACAATTTAATTGGTGCCGGCGGGGATCGAACCCGGGTCGCGTACTGTGAAATTTACTGCTTGCGCTAACCATCTGTTGTGCTACCACAGCTTAATCATATACACACATAATATTTAAATATAATTTGTTAACACTAAATCATATACACGTAAGAAAATAACAGAAAGAAAAGTAAGTTTGTCAATAGAATAAACACTTACATCCATGGCCTTTGATGAGTTGAAGTAACACAAATGTAGTATTGATAGATCCACTGCGGTCAAACGACATGATATGACACTAACTCCATGACTGCAGCTGCTCGGTCTTATATAGTACCAGTAAGTAATAATTCTAATCTAAAGAATTTCTGCAGTGGAACCGATAGTACGAGTAACTTTATACATCAACAAGCTTATCTCGCATTCTGTTGCTTATCTCAACATTCCTTCGTGTTGCGTCTTGTTTAGTATATTGATGACTCAAATACAATTTGTATAACACAAAAGAATGCAATTTAATATTTAGAAACCACTATAATTGATCATTCCTATGTTAGTCATTGAGTGGATTGATACTGTAATAATCTACTAATAGCAGTAATATCATGGATACACTAGATGTACAACAACATCTGAAAAACATTCACCCCAGTCTAGAAAATAATGTTTATGCTGCTAATAGACTGCCCATGTATACCCACGTACCAACGTATATAATATGCAATTTGGATACAGATAATAAACCTGGGTCACATTGGGTAGCTTTATATATCGATACGAATGATGTCGGTCAATATTTTGATTCATATGCACGATCACCTGTACGATACAATCTAGAGTTTTTAAAAAGGAATTGTAAAAGATGGAACTGGAATGTTGATAGGATTCAGAATGAGTGGACTTCAGTTTGTGGCGAATATTGCTTAATGTATATGCTATATAAGTTTCAGAGATGTTCAATGCATAGTTTTATGAGTATATTTACAGGGAACACATTGTACAATGATATTTTAGTGGATGAAATGTTCGCTCCTATTAGTAGTAATAATAAGATTTTGTATTTTGTAAATAAAAATTGCAACAAAACAGGTAATGTGTTTTATTGATGATTCATATTAGCGTTGTAGATAGGAACAAAGAAGTATAATACAATAGCACTGATAAGCCGACGCATACGCCGAGGAAAAATAGACAACGACGGTATTCGATGAACAATAGGTAAATAACAATGGGGCGCTAATGACGGTGGAGGCCCTCATCGGATATCAATTAGATAAGAGTTAATTGATCTGCACATCTCCGGAACCGTGCATCCTACGCAAAAACGTGATCAGAGCATGCCAAAACCATTTTTTTAGGATCGTGAGTCGACGAACGTTGTACCACTTCTGACTCAGTGAGCCAGAAGTGGTAATACCTATCTACTTCTATACGAAAACACGAAATGAACTCCAAATTCTATTACAATTTTATCAACAAAATATACTTAGTCAGGTCATAACATCCGTCAAAATTTTTTATAAAATTAATGATACACTTTTTTGATAATTATATGAAAATTATATATGAAATGAAAAGTAATTTAATTTAGAATACATTTTTATTTACATTATTTAAAATGCCCTCTCCTATTTTTAATACATGCCCTTAATCTAAACAGCCAATCATTAATCGCAGCACGCATCACACTCATATCAATTTCTGCTGCTACTTTAGCCAAATATACTCTGAGAGATTCCAAATTCTGATGATATTTAGGCAGACTTTCTTTTTCCTTTAAATGTTGCCATATCTTATTATCCAGTGGGCTTAAATCTGAACTAGAAAAGGGCTAGTCTTCATGTCCGATAAAGTCAATTCCATAGGCGGTCAACTAGTTTAGCGTGCTTCGTGCCCTATGAGCTGATCCAGAGTCCTGTTGGAATATCCAACATCTGTTTTTGAACATTTTTTGAGAAAGAGGTTCCATTATGTTTGTTAGGACGGTATTTTGGTACACTTCGGCACTGATTTTAACACTTTTTTCGCAGAAAAACACCTCAGTTAAGTCTGAATACTGAGAACAAAGCGCGGGATCTATCCAGCCTAATTTTTTTCAAACGCTCGCTCTAAAAATGTCCGGTCTTCTTACGATAAGCTCGCAGTCCTCGACCTTCATTAATCACTCTTTTGATAGTGGTTCTGCTGAGGCCCATCTGAAGAGCTAAGATTTTTTTTTACAAACAGGATTTAAATTCGCGCCTTCACTGCTTTGATAATCGCGGGTGTCTTAACTGTACGAGTTCGACCGGTCCTCTTACGATCTTCGAAACTTGAATCTTCAGTGAATCGTTTGATAGTGCGATAAATAAATCGTAGGATTATTTTCAATTTTTGTAGAATATAGAAAATCTGTTTTGGCGCGTAACCACAGTGGTGCAACGCGATAACTGCTCCTCTATCTTCTTTTATCGACCGCTCCATATTTGAAATTTAATGAAAATTAATGTCTTTTTTATTCACAGCAAGCGCAAAGGTTTTATTTTTAAAATTGATGAAGTTCATCTCGCCAGTATTCAAAATTTTTAAATAATAAGGTTTTGATCGTACTTATAAGCCGCCTATATAAATATATATGTATAAATGACTGCATATTCTGCCAAGTCCCTGAGCGTCCATGGCTGCAAGTCGTTTTTCCTTTGTCGTCATTTGTAAACTCACGAAGAGACGGAGTGATGGACGATTGAATATCTAAGATATTATTACATTTGCTACTCGGAAAATAAGCTAAGTTTTTAATTCACTGAATAATAGCTAACTGTACATTTCAGCTGCATGTACCAGAAATGATGGCCGTCCTGGTGATATCCATTCTCGCTACAGTCGCAATCGAGATGCCTTTCAATCAAGTATACAGAATATATTTCGGTAAGTACTACACTTCAACTGATGACCCTTAATGAGCTATTTTGGACTTGCGGTTTGCTGGGAAACGCGGGGCTTAGTGCTCAGAATAATATAATGTCATGTCACGTCATGTCATAATTTAATGAAACATCACCGACTACTTGACTGCCTTTCACTGACATTTTCTTGAGAGAAACCTGATTTTATTGATACAATGAATGAATGATTTTGTTCAACCCGAGACCACAAGACCAAAGGTACGCATACGACTACTATTTTTTTAAGAAGTTTTAATCGTTAAAAGCCTAACTTATAATTGATTAAAACTACTTTTAAGAATTTTATCGCGTTTTATTTATATTAATGTTAATAACCTACGTTTCGGGTGCTTTCCAGCACTCATTGTTACGGGGGACTGAGGTGACTGACGTCCCGATGTCAAAGTTAACCCGGAGTACCTTCAGCTTTTTAATTATTGTCTTTGCTCCGATCTACGCAGAATGAACTAACTGTATTTTGAAGTCTTGCAGTGGTATGCTTGGGTTTAGTTTTAATTTTATTAATTATAGGATCCCAAGCAGGTGGTAGTACCCAGCCTCCTTTTCTATTGAAATTAGGATGTTTTTTAATTTCAATAGCCTCACGTATCATCCTTGGTAGGAATAGATGTTCTTTCGCGAGGATTTGTGGTCTATCAAATCTGATGTAATGGTTGGGGCCATCTAGAATATGATCGCAAACTGCAGACTTCCCGGAACTTTGATGCTTCACGTCAGCTATGTGTTCTTTTACGCGGGTTCTAATTGATCTCTTTGTTTGCCCTATATATGAGAGACCACAATCACAATCAAGCTTGTACACTCCTGCATCTTGTAGAGGAATATGACACTTGACGGATGGTAAGAACTGACTAATCTTCTTCGGCGGCTTGTAGAATGTTCTAATAGAAGCTTGCTTCAAGATGTAGCCAATCTTGTCTGTGACACCTCTGACATATGTTAGCATAGCAGGCATACGCTCGACTGTGGCCGGCTTCACTCGGTCACTGTGACGGAGGCGCAGGACCCGAAGCTTGTTGTCGTGCAGAACCTGCTTGACGTGCTGAAGCTCGGCGGCCAGGTGTTTGCTGTCACAGATCCCTCATGCTCTCTGAAACAAAAATTTTCCCACGGTAGCTAACTGTGAAGGATGATGGTGAGATTCACCATTTAAGTATCGGTTTGTATGGGTCTTTTTTCTATACACAGTATATGACCTTTGGTGTTGTTAGGATTTCGGATGACTAACACATCTAGGAAAGCTAAGGAATTTGCCTCTAACTCCATAGTAAATTGAATTTTAGGGTTTATGGAATTAAGATGTTCTAAAAATGCAGTTACTTTGTCTGATGCTATGCTACCATATGTCAGAGGTGTCACAGACAAGATTAGCTACATCTTGAAGCGAGCTTCTATTAGAACATTCTACAAGCCGCTGAAGAAGATTAGTCAGTTCTTACCATCCGTCAAGTGTCATATTCCTCTACAAGATGCAGGAGTGTACAAGCTTGATTGTGATTGTGGTCTCTCATATATAGGGCAAACAAAGAGATCAATTAGAACCCGCGTAAAAGAACACATAGCTGACGTGAAGCATCAACGTTCCGGGAAGTCTGCAGTTTGCGATCATATTCTAAATGGCCCCAACCATTACATCAGATTTTATAGACCACAAATCCTCGCGAAAGAACATCGATTCTTACCAATGATGATACGTGAGGCTATTTAAATTAAAAAAACATCTTAATTTCAATAGAGAAGGAGGCTGGGTACTACCACCTGCTTGGGATCCTATAATTAATAAAATTAAAACTAATTCCAAGCATACCACTGCAAGACTTCAAAATACAGTTAGTTCATTCTGCGTAGATCGGAGCAAAGACAATAATTAAAAAGCTGAAGGTACTCCGGGTTAACTTTGACATCGGGACGTCAGTCACCTCAGTCCCCCGTGACCATGGGTGCTGGAAAGCACCCGAAACGTCGGGTATTAACATTAATATAAATAAAACGCGATAAAATCCGTAAAAGTAGTTTTAATCAATGTATAGTGTTCGCGTAAATATAAGAAATCATTATCTAACTTATAATTGTTGTTTACCGCCCACTTAAATTAAGTATTAAATATCTCTATATTTATCTCTTTTTATTTTATTTAGTGAAAAGAGAAGGAAGAACTTTAAGCATTGTCAAATTGATGTTGATTTTTATAAGTAAGGCAGTTAGTGTATATAATTTTGTCCATTCCCTAATTAATGTTGTCTTTTATTTACAGGTAAATCACAGACGAAATTAAAAGACAAATGAAACAAAAAAATAACACAGACAATAATATGTACTATGATTATTAGCTTAAGCCAATCATCACATAAAGAGTTGTATATTTTGACAATAATTTTGTACCTTGACTTTGATAAGAACGTAATTTTTAAGTTTTATAATTAAAAAATAGTCAACTTTAACTGTGTTTTTTTTCTAAGAATTATTTGATTACAAGTAAAATAAAGTGAATGAGATAATATATTAAAATAAACAGACTGGCGCTAGAAAGAGCGTGTGCCTGCTGTACTGCCATATGTCAGAGGTGTCACTGACAAGATTGGCTATATCTTGAAGCGTGCTTCTATTAAGACTTTGGGTAGATTAGAGATTTCTAGGCGAAGAAAATTAGTTAGTTTTTACCATCATTTAAGTGTTATGCCCCTCTGCAAGATGTAGGTGTGTACAAGCTTGATTGTGAATGTGGTCTCTCTTACATAGGACAAACAAAAAGATCAATAAAACCAGCGTTAAATAACACATAGCATATGTGAAGAATCGACGCTTTGGAAAGTCTGCAGTCAGTAAATACATACAGGCTCGCCCCTGATCACAAATCTGCGCTGAAGAACACCGATTCCTTCCAAGAATGATTCGCGAGGTTATTGAAATCATAGATATTTTTACTTATATACTTTGTCGGCCTTTTAAAAAGGAGTAGGCTTTTTTCTTCATCGTATACTTTATTGGCCTTATTAAGAAGGAGTAGGATCTTTTCTTCATCAGATACTTTGTTGGCCTTTTAAAAAGGAGTAGGCTCTTTTCTTAATCAGATACTTTGTTGGCCTTTTAAAAAGGAGTAGGCTCTTTCCTTCATCAGATACTTTGTTGGCCTTTTAAAAAGGAGTAGGCTCTTTTCTTCATCAGATACTTCGTCGGCCTTTTAAAAAGGAGTAGGCTCTTTTCTTCATCAGATACTCTGTCGGCCTTTTAAAAAGGGGTAGGCTCTTTTCTTCATCAGATACTTCGCCGGCCTTTTAAAAAGGAGTAGACTCTTTTCTTGAAGGTGCCTAAGTTGTATGAGTCCAGAAAGATCTCTGGTAGTAGTCGATTACACAAGGAAGGAGAGGAAGAAAACGTCTTCCGCCAGTTATCCAGATGGTATGGATGGTATCTCGAATTTAGTCGCGATGTGCGATGATGAAATTGTGCGACTGGAATTAGTCCGAACTCCTCGTGGTAAATGCGATAAAATACGCAAAGAGATGCATTTTACATGCGGTACACTTAGGGTGTGAAAACTTTAAATTTAGATTTAGGGTTGCGCAGAGAAAGGACATTTGTTAACGTGGATGTGTATCTATCAACTTTAGGAGCAGATTTTTTAGCGCATCATAAATTGTTGGTTGAAGTAGCATCTCGCGAACTAATTGATAAGATAACGAATTTAAATGTTTTAGCTCATATTGTGTTCTGTCAAGAACAGTCACTTCAGACGATAGATAAGTTTCACCCTTTTTATGATATATTAGGGAAGTATCCTGATATCACCAAGCCGGTTTCATTTAAAGAACGGTGCACGCTAGGGCAAGACCATTACCATCGCACCGACACTCAAATGTTGAAAAAGAGTTTAGGCCTATGCAACAGTTGGGGATTTGCAGACCGTCGAAAAGTGCGTGGGCGAACCCTCTACACGTTGTGTCTAAAAAAGGCGGCCAAATACGACCATGAGTCAAATACAGGGCTCTTAACGTGATAACCAAGCCCGATATGGCCAATATGGGAAGTCCCGAATATAGGGCGATTGCATGATTTTGCATATTTATTGGAAGGTAAAAAATACTCTCACGAATCGATTTTAATCACGCGTATCATGTTATATTAAACAACCGTAACAATGTAGAAAGGACCGATATAATAACACCTTTCGGTATTTTTGACTTTGACCTGCGTAATGCTGCGCAAACTTTTCAACAGTTAATGAATACTGTTTTGGAGGGCCTAGATTTTCTTTATACCTATGTCGATGACGTCATCATTACAAGCACGGGCATGACCTGACATATAGAGCATTCGAATATCGTGTTTAAGCGGTTAAATAAATGTAGTTTGACTATCAACCCAAATAAATGCTTATTTGGACATTCTTAAATAGATTTTTGGGGTTTCGAGATACCTACGGAAGGTATTTGTGCTCTTAAAGATAAAGTTGATGCTATTTATTCTTTTCCGAAACTAGTAACAGGTGAAAAACTCAGGAGATTTTTAGGAATGGTCAACTTTTATCGTTTACATTTATCCAATGCTGTTAGGTATCAAATGGAGTTAAATAAATTTTTAACAAATTCTAAGAAGACAGATTAAGCTAAAATTAATTGGGATGGGAAGTCAAATGAAGCATTAATTCAATGTAAAATGAAGTTGCAAAACGCAATAAGCTTATCGTATCTGAAACTTGATGACCCGCTTGCACTTATAACTGATGCATCGTGGGAGCGGTATTTCAATAGTAAGTATGGTCACTGCTAGGATATTTTTCAAAGAAATTATAGTCAACTCAGCAAAAATACAACACTTACGATCAATAGCTAGTACCCATTTATCTTGCTGTAAAAATTTCAAAAATATTGTTGAAAGTCAAAATTTGGTAATTTTTACGGACCATAAACCCCTAATTTTTACGTTTTCAAAATCAATAGTGACAATGAGTTACCTAGGCGCGTGAGACAACTATTTTTTTATTAGTGAGTTCACTACAAACATTAAACATTTTGAAGGTGATAAGAATGTAGTAGCGGAGGCGTTATCAAGGATAGAGACCGTAACTTATCCGACCGTATTAGATTATGCAGCAATCAACAGTACACAAAGTAATGACGAGAAGCTAGTTAGTCTACGCAGTACTAATAAGTATAATTTTAAACATATATTTATTCCCGGCAGAATATTACCGGTTTGGTGTGAAATATCAACCAATCGGGCGAGACAATATTTACGGGAACAATTTAGACCCTTAGCTTTCGATTCTATTCATAGTCTTAGCCACCCTGGAATACGTACCTCGCGAAAACTAGTGAGTGTCATTAGCTTGATCTATGTAAGTATCTGGTTATGAATAAGGACGTATATAAATGTCGTGCATGGCAAGTCAACGTGCCGAAGTTAATAGGCGTAATACATATGAACTAGGGAATTTTCCGAAAAAAAAATTCTCATGTTCTTGCAAGACTACAGGTACCTCGTCACAATAATGGATCGACTTAACGGTTGGCCAGAAGCGTTCCCAGTAAAGGATGTACACGCAGAAACGGTTTCTAAGGTAATTTTCGAAGAGTGAATTTCCCGTTTTGTGTGCCTCTTTAAGCAATGTTTTTCAAAATTTAATGAAATATTATTAAATACAATTCAAAATTTTTAAATCACAGTGAATACGTCGAACGTTTACGAGAAATGATAAGCGAGCTGAAGCCTAAGGCTACGGCACATAAGGACGCTCACACAGTATTCATTAATAGCGATTCAAATCCCTGCACGCACGTTTTTATTAAGAATTACCTCGTACGGAAATCACTACAACCTCTATATGAGGAAATATTCAAAATTTTAGAAAGAAAAGGAAAAGTTTTCTTAGTTTTCCTAATGTAATATGTATATATGCGATAAGCGGAGCGGTAAAAGTTGATCGCCCGCTCAGCTACACCACACGTAGCGGTCGTATTTCGAAGAAGCCCGTACGTTTCAATTTATAACATTAGTTAGGTGGACTCAATGAATGTTATTTAGCGTTTTTAGGCAAATTATTTCTTGTCGATGCTAACTTTCGTATAATACATACATACTTTCTCCGAATTAGTAAACTTTATTTTAATATTAAATAATGGGTAACATACATGGTGGACAAAGATGAGGTCGTTATCGCCCAGTCTGAAGCGGCTATGAAGGAGACAATAGTGCGATTATATATTGGTTTGACTGTTGCAGTTTTCGTGAAAACCGTTATGATCCTGTATTTCTTCTGTCGTTACGAGACAGACCAGGTTAAAAAGTGGGTGTGGAAGCAGATGGGATTCATGCAGGCACAAGCCTTGCAAATAACTCAAGTTACATGAGCCAGCTTCCGAAGAGCTCGCGATTCGCCTGAATCACCAACTAGAATTGAAATTTGTTAACAGGTTGCGCATAACAGTTTTTGGCGATATCAGATGTACTGTTTGGTTTGTTTAGCTGTAAATAGTGTTTAAGCGAATATTCTGTAGTAATTTAAGCAAATTCAAAATTCGATATACTGCTTTTGGCGAATTAATTTATTTTATTGAAAGGAATTAAAACGTGTATAGTACACGTTTTAATTCCCTTCGACACGGAGCTTCGTATAATTATGGTTGAACTTCACTTAAAGGTACGTTCGTTTAACCATTTAATTATACTCCCTCCTTGTCCTAGACATTCTTAACAATTGTAGATGTTTGAAGACAGGGTTGCGAATTTATAATACCAATGAATGGAAATTTGCAATTTCGCTTATTTTATAAAAATGTTGAACATATTGACTGTATAGTAAATTTAAATTAATAACATAAATAAATTATCGTTATTTCATAACATTTCCTTATACACATAAGGCCAGCTTGATTGCAGCAGAAGTGGCCCTGTGGAAGAATTATGACTGAAAAAGAAACAATCTGGAATATCTATTCCAGTTTAATTTTAACATCTTATAACTTACTTAAGAAATACTATTCTAAGTGGGTTAAATTTATCACTATCTTTTGTTCTGTTTTCTATTAAAATATTCACAAGAAAGGCTCAACCCCTTCTCATTTATTTTTTCCCATGTAAACCCTGTTGAAGTGAAATTCTATCTATATCTTAACTATACATCTGAGCTCCCGTTTGAATAAATGTAATATTTGTTGAAGGGCAATGTATGTATATTATAACCTATAACTCATCACTGCTCAGCTTCTTACTAGTTTTTGTAAATTTCTGTATTCTCAATATTTATTGCAATATTCTGTAGTTAATAATCTAAAAGTAACTTATTA